CCGGGCGAGGCTCCTCAGGGCGGAACTGGGCGGGGAGGGTCGGGCACCGGATGGATCCGGGCGGCACCGGGTCAGGCACCCGGTGTGCACCGGGCGGGACCTGCAGCCGGGCGCCCGCGGCCTTTGTGCGCGCCGCGCCCGGGCTCCGCCGCCCCGCGTGGACGGTTGTGCGCGGCCGGTCCCCGCCCCCCGCGTTCAAATGATGCAGCGCCAGGCGCATCCGACCGCTCGGCCGGAGCAGGAAGTGTCGTCAGGAGGCCATTTTTAAAGCCTCCTGCGGGCCTGGGGGCGACTGGACGCGGCTGTGCTCCTCCGTGCTTGGAAGACACCCCGCCATCCTCCCGAGGCACCTCGGGGTGTCCAGATGCTTCCCGGGATGGATGGTATCAGCCGCCCGCGTCCGCTCGTCCTGCCACGACCTGGCCTCGCCTGGACCAGGGAACCGACAATAAACTTGAGAACCACGCTGGCATTGTCTTTCCTTGGGAGTGTCGGGATGGGCCGGTCCACCCAGGACCTGAGCGCGGGTGGGATGGGCACGGTTGAAGCATCGAGTTGTTCCAAAGGCCAGTGGTCACTGTCTGCGTGACCCCCTCCATCCCAGCCTGCCTGCTTCATCTGGTTGCCTGGGGCTGAGGGGGTGGGTGGGGTTATGGGGGAGATGGTGAAAGACTGCCTTCTAACCCCCAAAAGGAAAACCAAAGGATAGACCCTAGTATTGATTGTTGATATACCATTAAACTACTTCTGATATTAGAAAATAGAATTACCAGACGGTTTATCAAAGTAACGTTTAAAAATCAAAAAACGAAGTATCAAGCACTTTGTGCTATTGAAAATTAGCCTACCGACATGAAGCCAATGTTGTATTTGAGGCCTTGAAACATGACCCTCTTAAGATTGGAGTTGAAAGCGCTGTGGAAAAAAAAAGGCTCCTTGGTGACCAGCAGCTTACAGTCCTTGGCTAGAGCAGCCCAGCTAGCTTGGGAAGGTGTCTCTGCCTGTCTGAGTCACACAAAGTTCAACCCAGTCCATGACTGTACAGGACAGCTTACCCTTGCCAAGCATTCTGGAAGCCCAGGAAATATTATCACATCCTTGGAGCACAGTGCAGCTGGTCGGGTTTTTGAATTGTAGAACGCTATCTTTAACCAAGGATGCCCTTATTTAAAGAAGTATTTTTACCTTGGATCTGATGCTGTTCCCTTGACCAGCACACTTGGATGTGTCCAGTCTTGTGCTGGTGATGGCTAAGGAGCAAATCAGATCAATGCTTTGTTTATTGAGCTTCCTCGCTGATGTGTCACGTTAAACTAATTGGATTTTTTTTAAGTCCACCTTAACTGGTTCTTGCTCTCTCCCGGTCTGACTGCCTTTGAATAAGAGGGTCTGGGCAGTTTGCAAGAGGAAAAACACAGAACAGATTGATCTTTGTTGCTGTAAAAGCTGCCATTCTGTTCGTCCACTCCCTCATCCTGAGCCAGTCTCACTGAGTGCCTTCCATGGCCAAGCCTGCAGAGTCCTCGCCATGGAGGATTCGACGAGCCTTGAGTGTTCTTAAACTGCCTGTGGCCTCTCTTGCATGCTGGTGTTCCCATCCAAAGCCAGCCAACAGCAGGAAAGTGGATAAGAGATCATCTAACTAGACCCTTCCCTTGGTGGGTGGGCATAGGATTGCCTGGGAATGATTCTAACCGATCATGTGCCCCCACCCCAGAAGGAGCCATCCACTTCATTTAGGTCATGGGAATCCTGGGAACCCTTTGTTGTTTTTTTTTAAGCTCCCAGATTGACGGCCTCACAGCAGTGGCTGAGAATGACCTCGAAAGTTGATTTCTTTTCTACAGTAAATATGTCCGAAAAACCAAAGCTCTGCAGCTCCAGGACTTAAACCCAAGTGTCTGGCTTTGTTGCAGGCCCGTCTGTGCAGCCCAGGCTTCTGAATACGGAAGTCTACACCAGGCCCTGAAGTCCTGAAACCCATGACCCTTGACGTCTCAGAAGGAAGAGCCTTGCCACATTCTTGACTTCAGGGCCCAGCGGCTCCTGACAGGAAGACAGTGCCCAAGAGGCCAGGAAAGCTTGCCATGACCTCAGCTCACAGCTCCAAGCTACAGGGTAACAGAGTTTTGACTGACTGCTGACTACTGTGGCTGTCCACCTCTGTGTAATCTAGAAAAGCCATATACTGTCTCCAGTTCTGTCCTCTCGAAAGAAGCAGGTAATTGAAGTTTGCTTTGAGGATATCCAGGTAAGGTAATGAGCCTGCTACAACAGGCTTCCTTCCTCCTGACTTACTAGAGCATCAGCAAGCAGCCAGGTACTGAGAATGCCCTGGTCAGCTTCCTGATGACGGATCCTCATTAAATTTGCTCATTTACTTCTGGCTCCAGTCAGACTCCTTAGGGACAGCAGCCGATACAGGGGTGGGAGGACACAGTCCTGGTCTGTGCTTGTTGTACTCAACCACACGAAGCACTGTGGGGAGCATTCAACTTACTGAGGACCTACAGAGAGGATTCTGTCACCACACACCTCACAGATACTGTCAGGATGTTTCCAAGGTTGCACGCTGGCCAGAAGCAGAACTCTGAGGCCTCTCGCCTAGTCAGATCGTTGCAATCTCAAGGCAGTTTAAGGGGCTGTACAGAGAGGTGATGTTTTTCTTGCCTTCCGTGTGCTTCTGCACCTGGGATTTGGGTGGTTGTCAACCTGAGCTCCATGTTAGAATCAGCCCCAAAGCCTTAAAATCCTGTCTGGACTGTGCCCTGCCACTGCCTCAATTAAGTCCCACTCTTTGAGGAATGGAACCCACCCCGCATTATTTTCAGTGTTCTCAGGTAATTCCAGCACTTAGTGGGGTAACCTCCTGTTTCTGGGACTTCCTTTAAACATGATGGGCATATCCTGACTAGGCTTGCCTTAATGCAGCCAAAGATCCCCAGTGTCGAGAGAGATTTCTTTTATGAAACTCAGTATGTTCTACAAAATTTTGAGTGCTCTTTAAGTCAAAAGAAAAGCAAGAGCATGGAGATACAGAAATGTGTGAGTTTTCATCCCTTCAGAGACCTGAGGTGCCTGGGATGTTTCATGACAGCCTTCTGTAATGGTTCATGCTGTGTTGCGGATAGGTGCTATCTTTGATACTAATGAGTATATTTGCCTTTTAACAATTTTCTTTTTCATATCAAAACTACAAGCTTTAAGCTTCAAGGACTCCAGTCATATTCCGAGTCTTTCTTCTCTGGGAAGGTATTGGGAGAAGTAGCCTGTGAAATCCCTTCCTTTGTTTTCTGGTGTAGAGTTCATTGACTGACCTGCCCTGCAAGGCCAAGTCCTCCCTGAGAACCCAGGGATACCCAGAAGCTCCCAGCCTCCAGGCAGGTCTGGACCTTTATCTCTACTGCCTCTGCTCCTGTACCCAGTTTCTGTTTGTCAGAGCCCCCTGTGCTCCTTGACACCTAGAGGAATCCTACCAAAGTGTTGACGTTTCTTGACAGATAATGGGCTCTTTACCAATCTGGTTATTTGCCACCTACACTTAATTTTTCTCATACATCCTCATAATCAGCCACACTAGTGATTATTCCATTTTATAACCAAGGAAATTTGGCTTAAGCTAGGTTAAAAGTCTGACATCACATAGCTAGCTAGAAAGCCAGAGAGCTCCCTAGCTTTCGACCCTTGTCCCTGGTGTCCAAAGTCACTTCCTGCACTGTTACACTGAGCTGCAGTCACTGAGGAAGCAGAGGGATCAGACTGCCTTCCACCCTGTTCTATTGCCCTGGCAATACTTTTGGTTTCAGAAGGCGGTGGGACCCCAAGGGCCATGTTTGTCAGCAGTATTTGGACATGCCTCTTGCCATCAAGATGCCTATCACTCTGAAATTGAGTCATTTCTGAGTGGGAGGTGGTTTGTATGGAGATTCCAGTGCTTGATATTCCCTGTTTAGGTCTGTTTTCCTACCTGCTCAGTTCTGATTTATATTTGAAGAAGTTGATCTGGGGAGATAATGTGTACTTTGTCTGATGTTGTGAGTTTTCCTCAATCCAGCATCATTTTTACATGCTGCCAGGTGTCCTGAGGTCAAATAGTGTTAAAATGTGGGTCACGGGGAATGACAGACATGTCATTTTATGGTTAAATGTGAGTGTATGTGCCACAGGGCTGAGGCCTTCCCATACAGTATCCTTGAATCACCCTGTCAGCTGTTTGGTGTGAAAGCCTGTTCCTTGCCTGGCAGGAAATAGAGAGAAATCAGTTGCCTAAGGACCCAGCCACCAAGGGATGGAGAGTTAACCTTCCAGTGGATTCCCTTTGTTCTTCATGAGCATGGCGGCCATATCCCTGCCTCGGGGATGGATGTGGGAAGGACCACATGATAGGAGTAGTTCTGGGTCAAAATGCCTATAACAACCTGCTTAAGCTTGCTTCTCCATCAAAAAAGTCAGTGAACCAAGATTGCAACTTTGCCCGTCATGTCTCGGGCACAAAAATGTACCTGATGCATCTGGCTGGTCATTTTTCTCATTGACAGCTAGTAGGGACACACTCACTTGCTACAGGCCTGTGGCTGAGCTTTCGTAGAGGGTGAGGGAAGGTGCATGGTTAAGTAGGCGACACTTAAGGCAAGAGGCAGTTGGCACTCAGCAGTGACGTTTGTGTCTAGATGGTTATAGCCCTTTCCCATTGAAACTGACAAATCGTTTGTAGTGAGGTAGTTTTTAGGGTGTACATCCAAACAAATACGGTTACAAGAATAAACTGAGATTTGGTGTGTGTTCTGGAAAGCCGTTGTCAGGCAGCTAAGAACCCTGTGCTTCAGCCCTTCTGACTGCTTGGCATAATTTCTTCATTAAAAATGGAAAGTAACATTTACTAAGTTCTGGTGAACTGATGGCTAAGACCTTTCACTTGCATGACTACACCTGGCCTCCTGCAGACGCTCTGGCATAGGCACTGTGACTGTTCTACCTGCAGGCCAGGAAACAGTGTGCCCCAGGCACACACCTGCATTGTCAGCACTGCCTCTAAGGCCCTCCAGTGTTTCCATAATTACAGCCTGAGACCTGATTATACACTTTGTCCTGATTACTGAATACTAGTAATAAGTATTGGGGAGTTGGATGCTTCCTTTTTGATAATACCTAGAAATGTTTATGTCTTTAATGACCTTTCATATCATTGAACAGATTTCTTCCAAGTTCAGCGCCCCCTTCCCCCATGTTCCTGTAACAAGTGTCTAAGACATCAAGACAAGGCCTGGGGGTGTGGCTCAGGTGTGGGTGTGGCTCAGGTGGAGTACTTGCCTAGCACACAGGAAGTCCCGGGTTCAGTCCCTGGCACCACCTAAAACCAGATGTGGTATTGCATGCTGGCGATCCCAGTTCTCAGGAGATAGAGGCAGAGGGAGCAAAAGTGCCACGTCACCCTCAGCTACATAGTGAGTTCAAGACCAGGTATGAGACCCTGTCGTGAAAAACAAAGCAAAAACAATAGCAGAAGAAATCAAAGACAGAGTACTCAAAATTAAAATTTTAAAAACTGAAATTTTATCCATAGTGCATACAGGTAATCTCCCTGCCTCCTCGACCCCCAGTGCAGAGAGTGGGGGTGATCCACAGGACTGCTTCTGTTTGGTGTACATGACAGTCACCTTTGGCTTTTGCTGTGGATAATTCTACATCAAGCAGCCCATTGTATGCTGCTATAATGCATAGGACACAGCTTAATGTTAGGTGGACAATTTCCCAGGCCATAAACTCAGCAGTGCTGGAGCCCTCCTGAGTGATCTGCCTCTCAGGTGCATGGAGAGCAGCTGAGCTCTGCCACTGATACCTTGGGTGCCGGCGGCATCAAGTGCATCCATGTGCAGCCCTCTGTCTGAGGTGTCTTATGTCATCTTTGGGCTTCAGCCACTGATAGTGACTCCCCAGGAGGATTCAGCTTTGCAGGTGGCTGGACTTGGACGTGAGCCAGATGGAGGACTTTGTACGCAAGGAAGAAGGCTCTCACCCAAAGGTGCCTGCACCTGGCAGTGTTCACGCACAGAGCTCAGCCACTGCCCTCCTCCCGCCCTGCAGCCAGTTACCTTCCCTTGGTTGTTAATATCAAGAAACCTCACGTATTTTCTACCATGAAGGAGAGAAGCAGCAATGCCATAATGCCCCGTTATTCCAAGAACAGCTCAGGGGCCCAGGTGACCCTGTTGAATAAGTGATGTAGGTCACTCCTGGCCCAGAAGCCCTGTTTCCCCATGCAGTGGTGTTTGCTGATGGCCCTCTCGTCCCTCAGATTAACATTTGTTCTTGAGGATTCTTAATTGAAAATACAAATGGTTCCCTACTGACAATGGTTCCACTGAGAATTTTGTGACTTCTTGATGGTGCAAATGCAGTGTGCATTTGGCAGAAGCCAAACTTGTGATCTGTGTTTTTAATCTTTTCCCGGGTTAGCCACCTGGAGCACAACACTGTGATGTTGGGCAACAGTGGTGAGCAGGAGCTCCCCCAGCAGCTGGGCAGCCTCGCATAAACCATGTACTCCGTTGAAAAAGTTCCACGACATGAATTTTATCTAGCTTTATACTAGGTTATGTCATCATTTTTGGTTTAAAATAGGCTAGGCTCCACTATAGGGTGCTGAGTTAGATGCCCCAAGAAGCTGGGGAGCATCTGGCACTGCTTAGGTGGCTTTGCAGAGATGGTACCAAGGGGACTGTGCCCCCCAGGTGCTCTGCTGGCCTGAGTGGGGATTCCCCTTCAGGCTGCTCTCTGCCTCTCTCTGATGGTCATGACGTTGGTGTCTACTCTGAAATTTTAAAAGGAATGGCAGCCATTTGAAGGAATTCAGAGAGACCCTGTCAAAACCTTCCTTCATTCCTGAATCTTAGAGGCTGGGAGGATGTGGAAACAAGCTGTAAATGGAATCCCAATTCTTTTGCAGGAGGAAGCTCTGCAGGTTCTTGGAGAATTACTTAGAATCAAGGTTCAAATAAAGTCCTACATTGAAACCATTGATAAGCAAGCTGTGTAGGGCAAGCCCTTGACATTCACATTATTCCCACCACCCCATGTTGTGAGACTAGTAGATGACAGTAGACATCACCACAGTGACTGTGTGCAAACGGAACAGATTTAAGATCCAAGAGCTGCCTGGCACCAGGTGGTGGCCCATCACGAGGGGCTCCTTTTTCGCCTCTAGAGTCGGGTTGAAGAGAGTAAGTTACAGGGAAGCACCTTTCATTTTCAACTAGGGGCAAATTGTTGAGGGTGTGAAAATCAAAATCTGAAAGAAGGAAGGAGTTGGGTGCTTAAAGCACCAACCATGTGGTCAGTGGAGGTGTTCGAGCACTTTAAAATGTCTGCAAACCAGTGATTTCAAATATAGGCTTTTCTCAGGATCATCCAATGCTTTTAGAGAAACACCCCCCCCATCCCACCTGGCATAATGCATCCCAGGAAGTCCATCTGCCATGGCTCTTAAGTGCCTCCAGATCCAGGGCCTTAGGACGTGAACCCCATCCCTCAGCTACGGCCTCTGCATTCTCTGGTCTTCCAGGTACTGGTTGCAGTTATAGCTGCTTCTGCATGAATTTGCTCATGAGAACCTGTTGATGCTAAATGTTCTTAGATGACAAAGTGATTCCAGGGACCAGCTACACCAGACAAGGCTTAGAGATCTAGTCTAGGTGTCTTGTGTGAATGAGCCAACAGGTGCATGTGGGTCACTGCACGAGGTCACTTGGTGTGGTGGCGGGAGTCCTGAAGGTCACTTCTGTCTCCCTTCACTAAGCCCGTTTACGCATCTGGAAAGTAAGAGTGTGTCTGCTTCTAATGGCTCCCTCAAAGTTGTCCTGATGTCTGTACTGGGGGTACAGTGGAATACCTGGTCTTTGCCCGTGTCCATCTGCTGCCTGTTAGGAACATTCGTGTGTCCTGTCCAGAGTCAGTCCTCTGGCACATGTGCTTGACCCCAGAAGGGTCAGAGAGCACCAGCAATCCCAGTTCCTCTGTGTGCTTGATGCCCGAGTGTCATGCACAGTTAGTGCTCAAGCCGGGTAGTGTGGCAGATGCCATCGGGGAAGACAGGACTGGAAGTTTCTGGAAGAAGGTAACCATCTTCTCCAGAGCTGGACAGGAAAAGAGAAGACCACAGAAGAGAACACAGCTTGTCATCAAATCAGTTTCTCCTGCACATAAAGGGCAGGTTTTGTTCATGCTGATCTGAATGTGCACAGCCCCTTCCACAGAGAGGCCTTTGCTCCCTTGAGCTGGCCTTCCAGACCAGCTTTGAGTAGCTCTTGGCTTGACAGTCCTGCACCAGAAGAAGCTGCTGGTCTCCCTCACTGTCCTGCCCATGGCCCAACACCGGAATGTCTGTATGCTTCCTGCCCTGTGGAGAAGGACCTTAGAGGTCTGAGTCTCGGGTGGTATAGTCATGGCAGCTCCATGGAGAGGCTGCATGAGTGGCCTTGATTCTGATTGCCAACTGATCTTATGGAGGCTCAAATAATGGATTTTTTTTTAAGGTCATAAAGAACAGCTTCTAGAAAGTTCTAAGAAATGGTATTGTTTAGCTCCTAGTTCCATATATTGTGAATGAACTATCTTTACAGATTATATAATTTTTAGCCACTGTAATACATACCTGCGCATATTAAAGATCTCACTCTACAAGACATGTGTTGCCTCACCTGCCCAGGCCGCAAGGCATTGTGCTCTACGGCTACCATATAATCCCTTCTAGTCCCTTGCCCTCTCGAGCTAGAGGCTGTTATTGGGACATAAATCAGAGTGTATCCTGCCCATGCTCCAGTCTCTTGCCTGGTTCTCCATCTCCTGTGGAAGGGAGGCTGCGGTGTCGTGATACTGTGTTGAGGTTGTTCTCTGCCATATCTGCAGCCCCCACCTTACATCCTAGCTGATGCTCCTAGTGCACCAGGCCCACGTCCTGCAGACTTTGGCCTTCTCCCTGCCTGACACTACCTTTTACCTCACACTGATAGGACTCAGCCCCTTGCCACAGGTCTGTATGGGGAGGCAGCTCACCTAGTGTGAGGTCTTTCCTGGATGTCCTCCCCTCCATCCAGCCCTGCAGCCTCCTCACATGAACACCCCCACCCTCTTCACCTTGCTTTTTGGTATTTCTTTTCTAATGGCCCTTTTGGTGTTTTTGCTTTTAACCACCATTTGACAAGTAAGTGTTCGACTCAGTCTCCACCGAGTGTGGCTATCATGAGGGCTGAGTACTCTGCTTTTTTTCAAAGCATTTTTTTATGTTTATTTATTGTATAGGTACACTCATGTGCCACATGTGTATGGAGGCCAGAGGACAGCTCACAGGAACCAGTGCTCTTTCCAGCACGTGGGCTTTTTCTGGCTGTTGAACCCAGGTTTCAGGCCTGATAGCAAGTGCATTTACCAGCTGAGCCATCTTGCTGGCCCCTTTCTTGCTCTCAATCACTGCTCTTCAGCACTTGATAGATGCCCATGAAGATGTTAAAGGAATCACTGTTTGGTTGGTTGGTTGGTTGTTGGTTGGTTGGTTGGTTGGTTGGTTGGTCTTTTTGAGACAGGGTCTCCTTGTAGCCCCAGCTGTCCTGTAACTCACTATGTAGACCAGGCTGGCCTCAAACTCACAAATATCCACCTGCCTCTGCCTCCCAAGTGCTGAAATTAAAGGCGTGCACCACCACGCCTGGCTAGGAATCACTATTTTTGTATCAGTGTTGACTTCTTACCACTTGCAGAAGCAAACTGAATGTTTAAGTGAGAGTCGGCATCCAAGCTGATATAAGTGTAACGTAGATTCAAGTCTGAACACTTGTACCAAAGCCCTGGCCGGCCACTTGGGAGCTCACCCATCAAAGCTGAATTGACGGTATGATGTTTTTGCAGACTCGTAGGAGACGCCACTTGTGTTGTTAGAATGCACTGTCATGTAAACATAGCATCCCTTCCTCAGAGCAATTTGTCCTGAGCCAGAAATTATGTTCTTCCTCCAGGCACCCCTGTGCTCATGACTGATCTAGGGAACTAAGCCTGAAAATGTGTTTAACTTAGGCTCGGCAGCCCGGTTCCCTTTGTTACTACAGAATGATAGTTTAAGATTATCTGTTGAGATTTAACTTGAAATTTCCAGAGCCATTAAAAAACACCGTACATGGTAATAGCTTCAGGAAACCTCGAGTTTCTGTACTAATCACACTTTATGATCTTCTTCCTGTAGTATTGCCTGGAAACAGAACTGACAGCAAGCATATTTTGGATCATGCACTTCCTGTGAAAGGATACTGAATATGATTACGAAGCACCCTCCCAGGAAGGATCTGGTGCTCTGCCAGTCAATGAGTCTGTTGAAGGATGTCTGCCAGGGATTTCTTCATGTGAAATCCTTCTGAATTTCAGTCAGCTCTGTGGAAATGCAGATAAAGAAGATGAAGGATATTGGAGAACAGCTCTATACCGCACAGGTGAATGGCGGACCCAGTTCCCTGACCATGTCACCCAAACAACCGAATTCTAACAGAGCTACTCGGCCAGATAGACACGAAGCACACACCCTCTTGTTCCAAGGCTCAGAGGCAGAGGCTGCCATGTTGACCCTTGCTACGTGTGTGCAGTGTAAAAGTGTTCACAAGATCCCGCCCCAGAATTTAAAGAAGGGCCCTGGGCAGAGCCAGCAGGCAGACGCCTACATCTGCTTCAAATGCAGCCTCCCAGCGGCACCCACCCAGTTTCATTTTGTGAACAGTAACCCCAGCGCCACTCACGCTGGAAATGAAGGTAACACCGTCTCGAGCCCTGTCGGTAGCAAATTTAAGGTAAGGAACTTTAAGCCGGGCAAGTACTACTGCGATAAATGCCGCTTCTCCACCAAGGACCCGCTGCAGTACCGGAAGCACACGCTGCAGCATGAGGAGATCAGGTTCATCTGCTCTCACTGCAGCTACGTCTCCTACACCAAGGGAGAGTTCCAGAGGCATCTGGTGAAGCACACCGGCGTCTTCCCCTATCGATGTGAGTACTGCGACTACGGTGCTATTCGAAACGACTACATTGTCAAGCACAGGAGGAGGGTGCACGAGAGGGCCGGTGCCAAACGGCCACTCAAAGCTGTTGCCAAGCTGGAGCCGAAGAGAGCCACCGTTGCCAAACAGAACCTGGAGCTCTTAAAGGCTCCCACCCCAAGGGCGGCATTTCCGAACAAGTTGTCCGATCAGCTCTCCAGGTTCTCTCTCCAAGCAGGCAAAGACAGAGTGCACAACATCATGTTGGTGCCCGAAATAGAGTACCAAAAGGATGTAGTGTGTGTTCCAAACAAAACGACCCTCTCGAAGCCCAGCGAAGCGAGTCTGCTGGGGAATAAAAACGTCCAGGTGGAAGTGCTCTCCCCTGCCAAGGAGCCCGTGCAGCCAGGCATGCCCTTGACTGTCGTGGCACCGGCAGAGCTGGTGGTCCCCACCAACTGTCTAGCTCAGTTGATCGACGTGAAGGTAGTCAATGGCACACAGCAGCTTGTGTTGAAGCTGTTTCCCCTGGAAGAGAACACTCACCTTGAATCTGGCAGAGGCAACGGAGGTCCTGAGCCTGTGACTAAGGAGAAGGGCTCCGAGGGACAGAAAAAAACACCCACTACAGTAGCAACAAAGTCACTAGCAATGGAAGGGAGTGCTGGAGAGCTTGTGGGCCGAGATCACCTTCACTCTTCAGTCCAGAAACAGCTTAAAAACGTGAAGTGGGTGAAATCCTGTGATTTTTTCATGCCAAACTCTGGCATGCTCACCCATCATGAGCCCTTTCTCAGTTCTGATACAGTTAAAGATTTGCAGAAAAATCATGGTTTGTATCCACCTCAAGCCCTTCCTTCTGCTGCCTTGAAAGGTCCTTCTCCAGCTTCTGTGAAGAACAGTGTCTCGCGTGGTCCCGGAGCCACACGGAAGCCTTTCCTGTGTAAAGCTGCTGTTTCCTTTGCTGATGATGGAAGGCATTTGCACAGTGACTCAAGGCAGCTACTTCCGCTTGCCTCCTCCATTTCCTTCACTGGGGAAAAGGCTGTCTTGCCTGTGGGCGGAAGCGAGTTGGAATGCAGGAGTGGAATCGGCATTCCTGAAAACATGGTTTCCTCTGATAGACAACTGGAAGGTGGGCAGGTAGAAAAGAAGGCTGTGCTGAGCGTCGGCCAGGTTCCCTCTGCACACCACAGTGAGTATTTACACATAAACCTAACAGAAGAGAAACTCAGGCCCCAGCCATCTGGGGATCAGCCTGCACAGCTAACGAATTCTGAGCGGACCAATGACACCTTTGAGGGCCCGATCATCTCATCCGTGTTTTCTCTGAGCTCTGGGTCTGAGAATGTGCCAGAAGGCATCAAATGGAATAGTTCAACAACCAAAATAAAGTCAATCGAGCTGCTGCGCAGGAAGATTGCGCAGCTGATTGAGTCCTGCGGCAAGCCTTCCTCCTTATCCGCCAGTGGTGCTCAGCGCCGATCTGTAGGGCTGGCACCCAAGCTGACTTCCAAGGCAACTCCCGAAGGTGTTCAAGAAATTAATGTGTCCCTGACTGGCCCTGGCCCTTCTGCGGGTCCTCTTCCAAAACCTCCGAATGAGGGAGGTGTTACCAGCAATGGACAGGTTGCTCAGGAGATCTGCCCCCCACTCACCAATGGCAGTGATGGGAAAACGGAAAGCAGAGTGGCCCAGAAGGCTCAGGTTGCCACCCCAGTGCTGATCCCCAAAGGGGCTGTGTTGAGGGTTCTGAACTCTTCTGAGGATGCTCACATCATAGAAACCGCCTGTGACACACCTGTCAGCATACCATGCAGCAAAGCTCAGTTAGCAGACCCAGGTCCATTCTGCCCGGTGGAACAGACAGGCTCCGGCTCGCAGCCTTTGACAAGTCAGAGTGGGCCAGTAGACACGTCCCCAAGCCTGGAGACATCTCTTCGGCCCAAATCGAGAAAAGAGGATGCCCTCAGTGGTGTCACCCCTAAGAAAACCGTCCCTGGGTACAGTGCACAACCTGGGATCATCGACTCGGGCAAGCCTGGGAGGCTGATTTCTAGAAGTCTGACCATAAGCAGGAGTAAAGCTAAGCAGATGAGCTCAGCCAAGAAGAGGAGCAAGATTCAGGCTGACCCCGGCCACTGTCTCAAGGACGCTTCCATTTTTCAGGTTGCAAGGCAACTCCGACTGATAGCTGCTAAACCAGATCAGTTGATTAAATGTCCCCGACGGAATCAGCCAGTCATTGTGTTAAATCATCCTGACGTCGACTCGCCAGAAGTGACCAATGTGATGAAGGTAATCAACAAGTACAAAGGCAATGTCCTCAAGGTTGTCCTGTCTGAGAGGACGAGGTGTCAGCTGGGCATCCGGAGGCATCACCTGCGGCTGACCTACCAGAACATGGAGGAAATGAGCCATTTGAAGAGGCAGATGATACTGAAAATGAAACTGAAGAAAGTGCATAAAAACAACTACCAGGTGGTGGACACACTGCCGGATGACTCAACCCAGTGCATATTTAAGTGCTGGTTCTGTGGGAGACTCTATGAGGACCAGGAGGAGTGGATGAGTCATGGCCAGCGGCATTTGATAGAGGCAACCAGAGACTGGGACGTCCTTTCCTCCAGGGGCAAATGAGCCAACACTGGTCTCTGGAGAGAATTGTTTTTCTTTTCGTTATCCTGGCTTGGGGTCACACCCCCTGTACCCCTGAGGCAATGAGACATGCAGACCGTCAGAGTCGGGGTTGCTCACCCCCAGGGTCCCCGAAGGAATGTTGAGAGCCCCTAACTTGAGCTCTGTGGCTGGACCGAGAGAGGTGGGAGGATTCTGAAATTCCACTTTTTTTTTTTTCCTGTTGGAAGCTGTTGAGGCTTTCCACTGGTTTTCAGTAGGACCTGATGTCTCTCTGCCTAGTCCTCATTTTCTGAGTAGACAGGTCCCTCCTACCCATTCGGAAGGACAGGTTTCAAGCGTTTGACTCACTCCTGAGGTAAATGCTCTGAAGAATTCAACCTATATCCTGGTACGAGCATCCACTCTTTCTGCTTTGGCTCTTCCACGATATTTGGTACCTAATAGAAATTTCATTTTCTACTTGATGAGTTATCTTAAATTTGGTTTCAAAGTAAGCTGTCCTCGGTCCCCACTCCACAGTACACACAGCAGTGTTCTGAAGAGCAAAACTCGCACCGTTCTACAGAGCACTGAGCTTTGCTTCCATTGCTCCTTGAAGGACAGTGATCCTGTTTCAGCAGCAGGAGAAGAGCAAACAATTTCCAGTATCTAGATCTTGTTTGCTTTTGAAATATCTTGATTTGTGACAATTGATTAGGGGATGTTTTTTTATTATTTTTTTAAGGTAAAGGAAAAATATCTAAAATTGTCTGTTCTTTTGCCTTTAATGCTCCCCAAAATAAATGGCCATTTTAATATGTGAAGGAACAGATTCATTAAAATACAGATAGGTAGGAGCAGAGCTTAAAGTGAGCACATAAGGCTCCTCTGTCCTTCTGAGCAGGCCCTCCTGGGAACAGTCTATCAGAAACCCAATACATTTTTGCTCCTGAAATCCTAGCAGCTGGCAGGAACCCACAGCACGGGCAGAAAGCCCCGCCTGTTTGCTGGGGCTTTAGGATCACTAGCCCTGGTTTTCCATGCATGAGCAGTCTAGCTTCACTAGACACTGTGCTTGTCACCTTTGCTGGGAGGATCCCTCTCCACCAGGAGGTGTCAAGACTCAGGGATCTTTCTGCGTGGCATAGGAGAATGTCCGTCTCCCTCGCACGCAGGGCCTCCTGGGTATCCGACTCCTGGCTTTGCTGCGGCAGATCCAGATCTTTGATCGCAGCTCAGTGAATTGTCCTTCAAGTTCTCACCATAGGTGACTCAGCATTTCTCAGGTGTGACTCAGTACCTGACATGATGCTAATTGTTTAATTTAAAACTTGCATTTTCGTATATGTGTATATCTGTGTACACATATACATGTTTTTACCATTTGCAAACATATAACAGCTAATTTTCTTATCTCTTTTATGATGATAGTGCACTGGGAGAATACAAAGCCTTTTTATATCCTAGAAATAATTTATTTTGGAAGTACATTTTTACAATGGTTCATCTCCTTTTTAGAAAATGCAAGCCAGTAAGTGTGGGTCTGATCACAGCGAGGAGCCAGGAGTAGCCAGCGCCTGCTGATCCTTGTACTATGGTGTCAGTCGTGGTGCTCAGTGACTCCATAAGGAAGAGCGTTCTCAAATTTGAGCCACAGTGTAGCGGGTATCCCTCCAGCAAGAGCCAAGCCTCGTGAGATGTGCAGGAAGGAGAAGGAAAGCCTGTGGGTGTACCTCACTGCTGAATAACTTCTTCCTGAGTGGCCAGGGGGAGAGCTGGCCACGGGCAGGCAACAATGTTGCCGGCAGGATGTCCACACTTTGCTGTAGGTTCCAGGTAACCGAAGGGAAACAGTGGAGCTGGGTGTGTTTTGAATGTGCAGCAAAGCTTTGGGGGGTTTTCAGAACAATGATTCTTGTCAAAGAATTAGAAGGGCTCCTGGAGCCCTGATCGTGGGAAGGCCACAGTGACTCTTCCCTAGAAGCAGAGCTTTAGAAATAGCAGGTTAACATGTAGGTAAGGGCCGTGGAAGGAGCCCATTTCTAACTAAACTGGAGGAGAGCAGAAGTGTGGTATCTCCATGTCCTTACCTTGATTTTGAAGGATCTCTAGTCACTACATTTTGTTAATAGTACTAATAAGATTATTTTAAGCTTATTTTCTAAACTAGTTTTTCTTGGGGGACCAGAAATGAGAGGACCTTGTTATATTTATGATATAGGCAAGTAGAGTAAATGGAATTTTCAAAAGCCACTGACTCTAAGTGTTCTCTCAATAGATTATATTTTATTCAAATTTTTATCTCCAGCCCAAAACATTTTGTAAGCCCCTGTTAGGGGCCAAGCACTGTTGACCTAAACACAATGTATTAACCCTCAGAAGTACCATCCCTCATCCCTTAGGACTTACATAAGCCACCCCAGAAGATGAAGGTGCCGTGCTGTTCAGCTGTCACAATGACTTCTGAATCTGTGAATGTCTTCATGAGCAGAAAACAAAATTTTGTCAAACATGTCAAAGCATTATAATTTCTGTGTGAACAATTTGTGTGTCTGCTGCTCTGATTCGGAAACGTGTGTGTACATAGATAGAAATGTTGGCATAAATTTTGTTAAATAAAGCCACTCTGAAGGTCTCTGCTCATTCATTTCAAATATTAAACAAGGTGGCTACTACATATGCCACGTATTGCTTAATAAATTTCTGAGGTGCATAAAGGCCTCATTGCACATACCCGGGCGGATGAGATCTACCCTGAGCTAGAGGCATTGGGGATTCCTGAAAGTCTTTAGTGCACATACTCAGGCAGATGAGATCTACCCTGAGCTAGAGGCATTGCTGGGGATTCCTGGAAGCCTTCGGTGCACATACTCAGGCAGATGAGATCTACCCTGAGCTAGAGGCATTGCTGGGGATTCCTGGAAGCCTTCGGTGCACATACTCAGGCAGATGAGATCTACCCTGAGCTAGAGGCATTGGGGATTCCTGAAAGTCTTCAGTGCACATACTCAGGCAGATGAGATCTAACATGAGCTAGAGGCATTGCTGGGGATTCCTGGAAGCCTTCGGTGCACATACTCAGGCAGATGAGATCTACCCTGAGCTAGAGGCATTGCTGGGGATTCCTGGAAGCCTTCGGTGCACATACTCAGGCAGATGAGATCTACCCTGAGCTAGAGGCATTGCTGGGGATTCCTGGAAGCCTTCAGTGCACATACCCAGGCAGATGAGATCTACCCTGAGCTAGAGACATTGCTGGGGATTCCTGGAAGCATTTGGTGGCCCCACATTACTCTGGTTTGACTTAAATTCACAGGAGGTGCTGGTCTGAACAGCAGTGCAGTTTTCCCACCACAGCCAGTGGCCTCTGAGGATGTCTGTTCACCTGCCTGTTTTCTGGCCTTTCGAAAGGGACTCGGGTGAGAAAGTTCTAGCAATCAGCCAGTTGTACCGAGGCCATTGGCTGCCCAGCTGATGTCTTCCAGTCCAAATTAATAGACCTTGAGACAGATTTCCACATGAAGCTAGGAGAAAGGAGCATGGGGCTTCAGAGGACTTCCTATTTCCTCATTACCTCCTTATCCTTATCTGTAAGCTTTGGCAAAGCCTGAGAAAAGTGTGTGAGTTATTCACATTGACCGGTTTGGCCAATGTATTCATTACTACACTGAAAAGAGCTGCCATCCACTGCAGTGTTTCCCTATGAAAATGTCCCCTTTGGGAGTGGCAGGTTCCTGGAGTAGAGGTGATATGGCTGACAACCTGAAGGGATCTGTTGGGGGTGGGCAGTTGCTGCATGGAATAGAAGCCACAGAGCTAGGAAGTGATCGTCGCTAACATGCTAGGAAGAAAAGCTCAGGAGGGTTGAGATACCTGTTGACCGTTTACTTGAGGGAGGATAAAGTGCAGAATGATGTTTCGGTGGGAGTTCATGGTGCCGTCTAGTGTCTGTAAAGCCCTTTCCTAGCATACCTGCACTCAGGGTGAGCTGCCTTGTTAGGGTTACCACCTCAGCCATCTTCGCTGGGATGTGATGGCAGGCCAAAGAAGTTCGATTTAGTCTACGCCAGCGCTGTCCACTAAACACAACACAAGCCAAGGTGAAGGCGCCTGCCCAGAACGTGACGTTAAACAGGATTGATTTGTCAACACATGTCAAATACTAAAGTACTTTCAGTCTGCACAGTTTATTGCAATGTGTTTTTTTCTTTATAATTTGGAAATCTGAAATTGGTTTACACGTTTCAACTTCAGCGGCAGATTTTCAACTGTAGTCAAAAGCAGTTTTACCAAAACACCCAAGTGTGCAATAGAAAGTTTTCACTGCTTCAGTTTCTTTCCAGTCCTTTTTTTAGATTTTATTTTTTAACTATATGTGCATGTGTGTGTGTGTGCGAGTGTGGCGCCCACAGAGGTCAGAAATCCTTTGTGTGGGATCCCCTGGAGGTGGAGTTACAGGTGGTTGTGAGCCACCTGACTTAGATGCTGGGTACTGAACTCAGGACTTCTGCGAGAGTAACACACACTCTTAACCACTGAGCCATTTCCTCAGCCCCATGCTGTTTGAATTTTAAACTAGAGCACAGCTCCTCCACCATTTCAGCCACATGTCAAGTATTGCTACTGTATTTTGTCAGCACAGGAGAAAGGGAAGCACACAAATATTAGTATATCTGAGCCCCTTGATAGATGCATGGGATTTTATTATGTATTTAAAACATTAGGCTTGGGCCAGTGAGATGGCTTAGCTGCTAAAAGGACTTGGCATGTAGTCTGATAACCTGAGTTCAAGCACCAGAACCCACATTGCAAAAAGAAAACTAACTCCTCAAAATTGTCCTCTAGGCCAGGGTAGGAGTATAGATCACTTGGTAGAGTGCTTGCCTAGTGTGCACAAAGCCCTGAGTTTGATCCCCAAAACCACATAAGCCAGTGTGCTGGATAGCTTTAGTGTCAACTTGACACACCTGGGTTGAGGGAGCCTCAA